AAGCCATCTTCGTGGCTGGACTTAGAGCCCCTTGACTCCTCGATGATTGAAGATATAATTTAGTGTCTTTATTTTCGCCGTGGGTTGCATTGTAAGTGGTAGATTGGAATCAATTTGATGGGCTTCCAATAATGTAACTTTGGGATTACAAATATTGGCTTCTTGGACCGAGATGAGGACCTGGAAGTGTCTCTTACATTAGAGAGTGGCCTTGGTGGCGGTGACTAACTACCAATAGTAAATCCATCCAGTAAACACTAACAAAATCCATCTAATTGTCTAAGCATAAAACTCGTGGAAAATACAAATGTTGAAAATGTGTTTCTCAGAGGTGCTTTTTATGTAACTTTATGTTGCTGTTTTTATTGGCACTTGAATTACAAACAGCATTGTAACTAGAAAGGATAGACTCATCCTGAGAGAAAGCTCAAAAAAGCAGATAAAAGGAGGGCATAATTCTCCTTAAATGATGTGGACATTGTTCAAAGGATATAGCCTCATTTTGATATGGGGGAAAAAACACAACTCTCAACCTACTGGATGTGTGGTATGAGTTCCTGTTCTGTAAAATTGAAGAATGAATTTTGGGAACAGTGGAGGTTAAGAACAGAATATATTGGGGGAAGAAGACTATCAGGTGGAGAGATGGAAGGAGTCCCCTGTGGGTTGCCAGGGACTCTGCCTTTTCTAGGGAGTTTTTTAGACTAAATTCATGACATGAGGCAGGTCCAAGTGGAACAAATGGAAAGTCACAAGATGGGTGGCCAAGCAATAAGATTGTGAGTCTGATTGCTCAGGTAAAATTAGGCCGGGGGAATGGCTCAGTAGAATAAGTGTTTCTCTGGCAAGCCCAAGGGCCTGAGTTCAATCCCTGGTTCCACCAAAAAAAAAAAAAAAAAAAAAAAAGATTTAGATTGGGATTGATACAGAGGAATGAAACTCCCAACCTGAGAGGTACCTGGGATAAGTTTGTGTTCTCTAAAAGTGAAGAATGAATTTTAGGAACAAATGGAGGTCAAGAACAGAATATTTACTGGGGGAAAGAAAGCTTCTGTCTGAGAGAGGGGCAGAAGGGGGGTCTAGGCGGGTTATTCCAGGAAATGGTCTCTTCCAGGGACTTTTGTAGAGTACAACCATGCGAGTCTAAGGTGGAGAAAATGGGAACTCGCTTAGGTGGGCATGAGGTGGGACAAAACTGTGGTCAACCAGTAAGGTTACAGGCATCATTGCGAGGTAAAGTAGATTTAAATCCAGGACCAAATGGGGAAGCGAGTCATGTAGTGAGCCGGCGTGAATGTGGAACTGGTGTTTATCCGGTAGTCAGCTGGTAGTTGGATTAGTGACTCTTCCTGGCTTCCTCAGGGTGCTGATCGATTCTGTTTCTGTTTGTTTTTGGTGGAACTGGGGATCGAGCTCAGGCCCTTGCACGAGCTAGGGAAGCGCTTACCCTACTGAGCCATCTCCCCGGCCTGGTGATCAATCCTGAATGCTTACCTTCAGGGAGGTGAGCATTTGTTTGATCTTGGTCTTTAGGTCTGGCCCACAGCGGGAGCATCCATTTGTCTCCTAGTTGCAGGGTGTCTCTTGTCTTTGTGCTGTCTCCTTGAGGGCCTGGCCCTATCTGACTGCCTGTACTATTTCTGTCTAATTTAGCTGCCTACTGCAGAATCAAATGAGGAAACGAGCCATGTAGGAATGGGCATGAGTATGGAGCGTGGGCTCTTATTGTAGGGGTTGGGTGAGTGGCTCTTCCTGGCTCCCTCCAGGTCATGGATACCTAGTTAGAATGTCAGTCCCTGACATTTATCTTAGGAAGTATGCAGCTGCATTTATTCCATCTTTTTCTCTTGAGGTCTGACTCACAGGGGAAGTACCTGTCTTTCCCTCCGTGGTTGCAAGTTTTCTCCTCTTCTGCACTGGCTCCTTTGTTAGTCTAGTCCTATCTGACTGCCTGTACTATTTTTAATCTAACGTAGCTGTCTATAACAATTTTTGTTATTAGAGTTCCATGGCTGGGGCCCTGGCTCTGTGTGTCCCAGCAGACTGGTGTGGCCACTCTGCCCAAATGCCAGGCGAGGACAGGAGCAGTGCCAAAGGGCAGAAGAGGAGTCTTACCTGTGGCCATGCTGGGCAGGACAGGTAAGGAGGTTCAGGATGTGTGTCGGGGGCTGGCAGAAGCTTTGGTATTTTACGGGGTAAGGAAAACAAAGGCAAGGGTGGGAGGGTCATGGAGCTGGGCAGATGACTGTGGCCAGGCTACGGGTTGATTAATCTGTGTCTCTCCTTCAGTTCTGCAAGGTGGCTCTGGAGAAGTTTTCACTGGCCTTGTCTGGTTCCCGTGAGAAGATTGCTGCTGTTGGGAGATGGCCCCTTCAGGACTGGTGAGTTGGCCTGCCCAGAATCCCTGGTGCCTGTGGGTTTGGCCCGGTGAGTGGAGTCTTGTAGGTGCCCCCACAGGGCGATTGGAGCACGGTGTGAGAGCGGGCAGTGGAATGCCCCTGTAAATCCTGAAAATGCTGTAGGGGGTCTTGGAACCTCAGTTAAGAAGGGGATAAGGTGGGGTAGGTCCTTTGAGGGCTGGCTGATGAGCCTTGTATTACTAATCCTGAGACAGCTGCTCCCTGTGTGGTCAGCATGCCTGTGTGTGGGCTGGGCAGGAGTCTGACCCAGACTTGTAAGGTGACAAAGGAGACAGCTATACACCAAGCAGGGGTGCCAAGGTTTAATCTGCTTTTACTCACGTTTTGGACATCCCTAAGCCCAGCCTCCAGGTCTCTGTTACATTTTCTTATTACAGGAAGCAAAAGCAGGAGGTAAAGAACCCAGCATCTCTCTGAGATTGGAACTGTGCCTTCTGGGTTTTTTCTCCCCTTTAATCTTGAGTTCTAGCTGTCATTACTTGGCATGGGGTTTGGTACATTGTAGAATACTCGACCAATTGTATTAAATATTTAAGCATCAGAAGGAATTTAAAAATTCATAATCTAGGGCTGGCTTGATAGCTGAACGGAGTAAAAGCGCCTGCTTAGGCAGAGCACAGCGGCCAGGGTTCGATCCCTGGTGTGCCATGCTGGCCCCACGCCCAGGGCTTGCTGAGAGGCGACTGAGACTGGGCGTGGTGGCACATGCGCCTATACCTCCAGCGGGAGGCTGAAAACAGGAGTATCACTATGAGTCCGATTTGTCGTTAGACCCTGTAGACTCTGTTCTAAAGACATAAAAAAGTCTATAAATTAAGGCAGGCATATATGCTGTGTTTTTGTGTTTGGCCACCTGATACTTATGTCAGTGTCTGAACTCATTTTGCATTCTTTTGAGATATCTGGGGAGGAATTGAGTATTTTGGAAGGTTCATCATTTTAATGATGTTTATTGCATATTTGTTGTTAAACTGGTGTTACTTGGCACTGCTAAAAGAAGCATGTTACAGGGCCTTCTGGAGTGGAGTGGAACGTCTGATTTTAAAGTGCAAAATAGGACTCACAAGGGGAACATGACAGGGAAGGAACCTGTGTGCTGTCACTCCCCTCCTCTTGCCACATGCTGCACTTGCTGCCCTACTAATGGATCTGTTTTTCGGTGCCGGTTGAAACTGACTAGAATCCCTCTGGCTGGAGGCTGTCCGCTCCAAGAGAGCCCCCAGAAGATAACACTGTGCTCAGTGGTGGGGTTCTGTTCCGGCATATTCCATCCCTTCAGCCCTGCACTTACAGGATTGGCCTTGATTCACTGAAATGTGGGCTCATCAGCTTCGAATTGTGTGAATTCCTGGGCCTCACCTTGAAGGTGAAATAGGAGAAACTCCCAAAGGAAAAGATATCAGGGACGAGTCAGTGTTCGCTAAAATGAAGAAGGAATTTTAGGAACGACAGAGATTAAGAGCAGACTATATTTATTGCAGGAAAGAAAGCTTCTCTCTGAGAGAGGGACAGAAAGGGACCTAAGTGGGTGGGCTCCGAACCCTACCTTTTCTAGGGATTTTTATAGAGTAAAACCATGAAGTGAGGCTTGTCCGAGGTGGAACACAGGAGCTGACAAGAAGGGCTTGTGGTGGGATAAAACCATGGTGAACCACTCAGATTACAAGTATAATTGCTCAGGTAAAACTGATTAACTCGAATCAAATGAGGGAATCGAAAATCACATAGCAAGAGGGCCTCAATACAGAACTGGTGTTCTTCCTGTATGGGGTTGGGTTAGAGACTCTTCCAGGCTTTTTTCAAGGTAATTCATGCCAACTTAGAACATCAGTCCCTGATGTCTGTCCCTAGGGTGGTCTGTGGGGGCATTAATCTTTTGTCTTTAGGTCTGGCCCACTGGGGTGGTGCCTGTCTCTCCTGCAGTTGGGAGGTATCTTGTCCTTTATACTTGCTCCTTTGAGCGCCTCACTTTGTCTGACTGCTTGGAATATTTTTCTCTGATTTGGCCGCCTACAACAAAGGGTAACTGTTTCCTTCATTTCTGGTGCCTCCTTGTCTTCATATATCAACCTCATGGAGTGATAGGTTTTTCCGGATGGCAGCACAGGAGAAAAACAGGCAGAAAGAAAAAGGGAAAGGGGATTTATTATCTTGGAGGACAGGGAGAGAATCTGGGGAAGATAAGATATTCTCTGAACTAGAGTAAAGGGAGGCTTTCATGGCCTTTTTTTTTTATTTTGGTCAGGGGTGGAGTTTGAGGGGGATGTTTAGAACTTCCTGAGGAGCTGACTGGGGTCTTCCTTGAGGCAGCAGAAAAGGTGAAAGGAAATTGCACCTTGGGCTGAGTTGGAGAAGAGGGGAGGAGGGGGTCTCTGGGAAGATGAACTGTTGTTGTAAGGGTTTTGCCCGTATTAGAGGACCACCATAATAATCCAGCAGTTCCTCCTAGGGCCAGAACCTGTCATGGAGTAACTATGCAGTGTTCAAATTT